CTGGGCTCTAGATCCTGCCAAGATGAACCGAGGCATCTTTGTGTCACGTGGCAGTCCCAATGAGAAAGAGCTCATTGAGAGCGCTGAGGGGATCTGCTCTTCGGACAGGCTGGTTCATGATAGAATCCGTGGGTATTTTGCACCCTTTGCCAAGGCCTATGAAACAGTGTGTCAGAAGCAGGAGAAGGAGTTCTTTGGGCTTCGTGACTATTACAGCCTCATCAAAATGGTCTTTGCCAAAGCCAAAGCTTCTAAAAAGGGGCTTTCCCCACGAGACATTGCTCATGCTGTGCTTCGGAACTTCAGTGGTAAAGACAACATCCAGGCCCTGAGCATCTTTACAGCCAGTCTTCCGGAGGCCAGGCACAAGGAAGAAGTCAGTACTGTGGAACTCATCAAACAGAACATCTGCACTGGCCTGCAGGCATCCAGCAGGGGCCTGGATGCTGCGGAGTCCCGTTACCTGCTTGTGTTGACCAGGAACTATGTGGCGCTGCAGATCCTCCAGCAGACACTCTTTGAGGGTCAGCAACCAGAGATCATTTTCGGCTCCAGCTTTCCTCAGGACCAGGAATACACCCAGATCTGCAGGAACATTAATAGGGTGAAGATCTGCATGGAGACAGGGAAGATGGCGGTGCTGCTGAACCTGCAGAATCTCTATGAGAGCCTGTACGATGCTCTCAACCAGTACTATGTCTACCTTGGGGGCCAGAAGTACGTGGACCTCGGACTAGGTACTCACCGAGTCAAATGTCGAGTGCACACTGATTTCCGCCTCATCGTCATTGAGGAGAAAGATGTGGTGTACAAGCAGTTCCCTGTGCCCCTCATCAACCGTCTGGAGAAGCACTACCTGGACATGAACACCGTGCTGGCGGGATGGCAGAAGAGCATAGTTCAGGAGCTGCAGCAGTGGGCACATGAGTTTGCAGATGTAAAAGCAGACCAGTTCATTGCCAGACATAAGTACAGTCCTGCAGACGTCTTCATCGGCTACCATTCTGATGCCTGTGCCTCTGTGGTGCTACAGGCTGTAGAGAGGCAGGGCTGCAGGGATCTGACGGAGGAGCTGTACCGAAAGGTGTCTGAAGAGGCCAAGTCCATCCTGCTGGACTGTGCAACACCAGACGCTGTGGTCCGGCTGAGTGGTTCTGCACTGGGCTCCTTCACTGCAAAGCAGCTGTCACAGGAGTATTACTACACCCAGCAGCACAACTCTCTTGTAGACTTCCTCCAGACTCACCTGCGCATGGCCCATCAGGACTGCCGGGCTGTCTTCACAGAGGTGACCGCTTTCCCACAGCCTCATCCCCTGTTCTGTCACCTGAGAGTCCTAGGATCCTCAGGTCAGGAACTCAAGCTGTGTTGATTTAAGCCAGCATGCAGGGATGACTTATAGGTAGGATAGCTATGCAGAGACTGGGCTCCTCTCACTGTGCCTGGCTCTGCACATTTCTCTTCGTTGGCCAGTGTGTGTTTAGCTTAGAAGGGCAGCAGTCTAGCAGGAAGGATCAGGGACATAGGAAGCCTGCTATTCATGAGATGAGGTGGAGAGAAGGGGACATAGGAATTTCTTTAAGAGGCACCCCATGCAAGGATGAAGGCAGTGAGATGTGAGAATCTCTAGGAGAATTCACTGGTAGAACATGAGGGCTAAAGCTGTGAGTTCTATGTCCTGAGGTTGAGATGGTTGGAAAGATCTCTTGGAGGGCCTCAGTGGCTCCACTAAGGAACCTGATCCTTCCTGCCTAGAGGGACACCAGAGGAGGATGTCTAGAAGGGCCCTGGCGATGGGACACCAGTGAGACAGAAGGCCACCATGGAAACAGAGCAGTTAGACAGCCTCAGGATCAGTATAGTCAGAGCAGAAAGGCAGATGACATACATCAAGAAAAACTGGAAGTCTGGTGTGGTGGCACACACCTTTAATCCTAGCACTCAGAAAGCAGGTGGACTTCTGAGTTCCAGGCCTGGTCTACAGAGTGAATTTCAGGACAGCCAAAGCTATACAGAAATCTTGCCTTGAAAAAAACAAACAAGGCCAGGAGGTGGTTTTGCACGCCTTTAATCCCAGCACTTGGTAGGCAGAGGCAGGCAGATTTCTGAGTTCGAGAGTTCGAGGCCTGCCTGGTCTACAGAGTGAGTTCCAGGACAGCCAGGACTCCACAGAGAAACCCTGTCACGAAAAACAAAAAAAAACCCAAACAAACAAAACAAAAAACAAAAAAACAAAAAAAAAAACAAACAAACTAACAAACCAAAAAACAAAGACATGTTTAGGAGGTAGAGAGATGGCTCAACGGTTAGGAGCACTTTCAAAAACCTGGGTTCAATTCCCAGAACCCACAGGCAGGCACAACACATACACAGGCACACAGGCACACAGACACACACACACAGGCACAGCACACAAACACACACAGGCACAGCACACACACAGACACATGAAAAGAAACATCTGGGTGCAGATGCACAGGCTGATTACTGACTTCATAGAGGGGCAGCAGGCCACAGAGGTGTCTGGGGACAGGGCACTCACTGGTTCCCTCCTAACTGCCTGGGGACTCTGCTTCGCAACACTGAAAGTTCAGGAACGAGGATCAGGTTCAGAGCTGGTAGGATTGGAAATGAGGGCATCAGAAGTTCAGAGGTCAGGGCAGCAGGTGAGAACTGGTCACAGGTGTCAGCAGACCTTCAGGATATTGGAGTCTGCAGTGCAGAGTGTGGTTCATTGAGAATGATGTGACAGGGGCAAGAGAGACTAATGGCCGACACCATGTCAACCTGTGGGCCTCGACCCCTTCCTTTCACAGGGTCATGTATCAGATATTTACATTACGATTTATAACAGTAGCAAAATTACAGTTATGAACTATCATCAAAAATAATTTTTGTGGTTGGGAGTCACCACAGTATGAGGCACTGTATTAAAGGGTCACAGCATTAGCAAGGTTGAGAGCCACTGGTTTATAAGTAGTGACATTTGTGGAGAGTCCTAAAGTATCCAGACATGACAGAGGGGTCCAAAGCAGGAAGGAGACTAAGTCACCTGTCAGGGCATATCTCTTCTCTGATACCTTTTAATGCCTCGGGTCCTTGTCTTTGGAGATACTCTGGGCCTGTGTTTTCTTTCTACACACTGAGCCATGTGCACCCATGATGAGCAGAGCCCAACCCTCTCATGTTTCTAGGTTCTGTCCTGAGAAGATGGGCCTCCCCACTGGGTTCTTGTCAATGCTCATCTCCCTCTTTGCAGATCACCACGTTCTCCAGACTGCTGACCAGTCGTGACTGTGACGTCCTAGAATCTGAGCTGAGAGGCCTGGCCTCGAAGCCTATGGTGCTGTCACTGCAGCAGTATGACACTGAGTACTCGTTCCTTAAGGATGTCCGGTGAGGTGCCCTGCTAGCTCCATTCATTAGGGCTCGCCCGTGTCAGGTGGGCTGGCAGGGCTGTAATTAGCACTGCTTAATGGTCTGGAAGGCTGCTTTTCCTATCTAGGCCTCCCACTCTGGCCCTGTCCCCACTACCCTCTTCCTCTCATGAAAGCATCCCAGCATGCTCCTTGGTCTCCTCAGCCTTGCTGGCCATTTAGAATTCTACTGAGTCATCTGCCTACCTGAGCATCTCTCTGCATGCTTTTTTCTGTGTGGCCCTGACTTCGCCCATGCTTCAAGGAATTCCTTTATCCATTTTTCAGGAAGGGGGAACTCACCCACTAATCTATTCCCTTTCTTCTCCAGCTCCTGCTTAATGAACCCAGCCAAGCGTAAAGTCCTAGTCATCCAGACAGACTTTGACGATGGCGTTCGTAGCGCGCAGCTCATAGCCTCCGCCAAGTAAGTTTTCAGGGCTTGGCCAGAAACAAAACGGGGAACCAATAGTCACAGCCTCTGAAATATCTCTTCCCTGCGAGCAGCACCATGTCATGAGCAACACGTTAACAAGAATATTCTTTCTTCATTTCCCCAGATGGCTGTATAAATGAAAGAAAAGGCTAGAGTTCTAGGGGATAGCAAGAGAACCAAGTCCAGTCCCAGCACTCATGTAGAAATTGGGTGTGGCAATGCACTTGGTGTGGCAATGTACACATGCAGCCCCAGTGCTGGGGAGGCAGAGCCAGATGATCCTTGGGCCCAGTCACTTGCAAGTTTAGCCTAACCAGAGAGCCACAAGTCCTGCTGAGACTCGAAATCAAGATGGACCACTCCTAAGGAATGATAGCTGAGGTTGATCTCTGGGTTCTATACTCATGCACATGTGTTCACACACTCACATACACACAGACACACACACACACACACACACAGGTAGGGGAGAGCACAAAATTGTTAAACACAACAAGTGTCAATAGAACATTATCAGGATTGTCAACAATATCCCCGACACGTGCCTGTAGTCCCTTTTTCATCACTGTTTTCAATTGAATGATACGAATCTATTGCAAGTTCAAGGGCAATAGCTAGAGACTATGTGTGTGGTGTGAGAGTAACAAGTGTGTGTAATGTGTATAGCTTGTGTGTGTGTGTGGCTAGTATTGACCCTCACATGTTAATAAGCCAGTTCTCCACCACTGTGCTACAGTGATAGACCTCCCTAGGGATCCATAGGAAGGCCAGAAGCCCAAGTCACAGCAGGGCAAAGCCCAGAAAGCACAGGGTTCTATTCAGGAAGGAATTCTAATCGAGCAGAAAATTCTGGGAGGAGTGGGAAGTGAGCCCACCTCGTCTTAGGAGTATAAATTGCATCAAGCTCCAAGGACTGGGAGAATGAGATGGCCCCTGTCAGCTCATAGGGCACTCACCAGAGACTCAGATGGCCCCTGTCAGCTCATTAGGGCACTCACCAGCCAGCTCTCAGCATGGGTTTGTTTGCATGGTATTGATTTGTGTTTGTTAAACAGGTATTCTGCCATCAATGAAATCAACAAAACACAGGGAACAAAGGACTTCGTCTTTGTTTATTTTGTCACAAAACTGTCACGAATGGGAAGTGGTACATCATACGTGGGGTTCCATGGAGGTAGGACCACAACACTGCAGAATGTGTGTGGGTTTTTTGTTTGTTTTGTTTTGGTTGTGGTTTTTCAAGACAGGGTTTCTCTGTATAGCCCTGGCTGTCCTGGAACTCACTCTGTAGACCAGGCTGGCCTCGAACTCAGAAATCCGCCTGTCTCTGCCTCCCAAGTGCTGGGATTAAAGGCGTACGCCACCACCGCCGGCTGTGTGTTTTTTTTTTTTAAGTAGTATTTGAGGTATTTGTCATGTGACCCTGTGCCTGAAATGAGAATTTGAATTCCAACAATACTGTTGAGTGGCAATTTGACTTCTTACCCAGTCACAGTTAGCTGGGTATGGTGGTTGCACACACTTGTAATCCCAGATTTCTGGACGCTAAGGCAGGAGGGCTGCAGGTTCAAAGCCAGCCTGGATTACACAAAAAGACTTCTATCAAAAGCAAAAAAGCAAACAAGCAAGCTTTAGGCACACTGCAGTGGCTTCAGCAATCCCTTTTCTACCTTAGGTGAGCACTGGCTCTACTCCCCACTTCCATGACGTAGGGATTCTGAGCTCTTCCCACTCCACCAGCTTTACCTTCATTTCCCTTTGGTTTTGAGCACTGACTTTGTGGGAGAAATGTTATCTTTATATCACTACGCAGCTCTCTCCTGCTCTGAGGCAGGTGTGTTTCAGAAGTCAGAAATACCAGTGCCTCATGTGCCTTTACTAATTACGTGGTGGTTGCAGTAAGATGGGGGTGGGGCCTAGAGTCACCCATGGACCCTTTTTAAGAGATTATTTTAGGTCTTAAATAGTACTTAGGTTGATCTTGTTGACAGATCTTGTGCTTTCTCACATATGCAAATGCCTAGACTTCGGGGTACTGATCACTCCTTCAGCAGTGGTGCAATTAAAATCCGGGTTAGGGGACTGGAGCACAGAGATTAAGAGCTCTGGCTGCTGGTCTAGAGGGCCTGGGTTGGATTCCTAGCACCCATGTGGTAGATCAGTATCATCTATATCTGCAGTTCTAGGGGATCTGATGCCTTCTTCTGACATGCAAGGACACAGGAACACACGTGGTGAACATATATACATGTAGTCAAATACTCAAATACATAAAAATTAATCAATCTTTTTAAAAAGAATTCTGGGTTAGTCCATCTAGATGGCTAAGCAGGTAAAGCGCTTGCTTTGGAACCTGACCATCTGAGTTTGATTCCACTTCTGAATCCACACAAGTGCTATTATGGCACATGTGTGCACACATACAAACACATACACATACATACACAAAATCATAAATATAAATAAACATAAAAATCCAGGTTGATATTGTATTTTGTTTATAAATGATAAGAAGACAATGGCTAAGTTATAGAAGATTCCACTGACTTTGTTCTTCACAGGGCTATGGCGGGCTGTACATATTGATGACCTCCGCAGATCAACAATTATGGCTTCAGATGTCACCAAACTGCAGAATGTCACTATCAGCCAGCTGTTCAAGCCAGTGGAAAAACCTGAGCGTGAGTCACAAGACAGTCATCTGGGGGGACATGGTGTAGGTGACAGGAGGGAAATGCCAGCTGTGGTGCTGGGTGCAGAGCCACTCTGCTGTTCCAGCCCCTGACCCTCAGCAGAATTCACAGCAGTGTGGGGCGGGAGCCAAGAGGAAGGTCACCCGAGTGTGCCACAGCATGCCAGGCTGCGTTATGATTCCTTTGCCAGCTTTTAGAGCCCAGGCTAGGGAGTGCCTGAGCCGGGAGTTGGAGCTGATATATAAGACACGTGTTCACTTTACTAGCCATCACTGCAGATAGGGACAAGGAAGCCTGACAAGTCCTAAACTGGGTATAATTCCAGACAGTCTGGTCCTGCATGCTGAATTGAACATGTTTTTCTTGCCTTCTGTCTAGCAGAAGATGACCCAGAGGAGGAGATGGAGACAGAGACCAGCAAGTCAGGGGAAGTGACAGAGGAAGAGATGGAAGTGGAAGGTTCAGAGGAGATGAAAAAGGCCTCTGACCCAGGAGGCTGTGATGTGAGTCCTGCTTTTGCCATTTGCTAAGGGAGACGCTTGAGCTGCATTTTTTTTTTTTTTTTTTTTTTTTTTTTGGTTTTTCGAGACAGGGTTTCTCTGTGTAGCCCTGGCTGTCCTGGAACTCACTCTGTAGACCAGGCTGGCCTCGAACTCAGAAATCCTCCTGCCTCTGCCTCCCAAATGCTGGGATTAAAGACGTGTGCCACCACTGCCCGGCTTGAGCTGTATTTTTCACCTCTCGTCTGGGAGTTAAAGAAACCCTGTATTTATGATTGTGGGAGGAGACAGTGTGGGCCATCTGATCACAAGGGATGCATAAGGAAATCATCCCTCTAAGTTACCCTTCATCCTTGCTTTACTTACTGAAGCCAGCCATCAGGGAGTATGGCTGGTAGGTTTTAGTGTAACTTTTGGCAACTTTAACCACCACTTGGAGCCACATGATTGCTAACACAAAACCGCCATGTTGTGTGTGTGGCCTAGCCTTTGTCCAGTCTGGAATTGGCACAGTAGAAGTCTTGTTTCCTTCCTCAGCGTTCACAGGTCCTAGACACCACCAGACTGCTGCGGAGCTGTGTGCAGGGTGCTGTGGGGATGCTGAGAGACCAGAATGAGAGTTGTGCACGCAACATGAGGAGAGTCACCATTCTTCTTGACCTCTTAAATGAAGATAACACACAAAATGGTAAGCACTGTGCTCCAAGTGCTAAATCATCTACCTAATGTGGGCACGGTGCCCTTCCAGGCTTCTTGGGCTTGAGAGAAGCAGCAGATAGAGTTGGAATCCATGGTAATCTGTCAGGTTCTTTTATGAAACTTGCCTGGCCCAAGGGTAAGCAGTTTGCTCTTGGGTAAGACATGTCAAGATCTATGACGGGCAGCCCAACAACCTAGTGTGAATGAGTAGGACAAAACAGGCCCTGTCTTCACAGCTTCTTTTTTGCGGGAATCTAAGATGCGCCTCCATGTTCTTCTAAACAAGCAAGAAGAGAACCAGATCCGCAGTTTAAAGGAGTGGGTCACCAGGGAGGCTGCAAATCAGGACGCCCTGCAGGAGGCAGGCACCTTCAGGTACAAGAGTAAAAGAAACAAGAATTATGGAGGCCTTTGCACAATGCCAGTGATGTACTACTGCTGGTGTGACTCTTAGTGACGTGCTCCTGCTGGTGTGATTCTTAGAGATGTGCTCCTGCTGGTGTTAGTTACTCTTAGTGACGTGCTCCTCCTGGTGGGAATCCTCTTGCTGGTGTGACTCTTAGTGACTCTGGTTTTGGTAAGCTGCTGCTGCTCTCCCACTGCCTCCCATCCCAGCTCTAAGCACTCAGCAGCAAATGTTGGTTAATTCACACAGTGACTGGAAATCTACAGTGTGCAGAGCACAGATGCCTCAGAATTACGTCCCAGAAGGCACTTCCTGACTGACCTGACCTGGAGAGAGCCGACTTTGTGTTTTTGTTTTGTTGCTAGCTGCAGGAAGTCTCTTTCTCAGTAAATCTGAGCATTTTTTTCATCGTTAGTGTGAAATGGATGACTGGTTTTGGAAACAGCTATATATAAAAACAAGGGTGCCTTCAGCTTGCTGA